ACCAGTGACTATATCGCCAAAGAAAATGACCCCCCTACTGTGGGTGTTCGGTTTTCTGAGAAAAGGCCTTAAATAGCCCAAGCTGGCCTCAAACTCACACGTAGCCAAGGATAACCCACCTGCCTCCACCTCCTAAATTCTGGGATTATAGACTTGTGCCATCATACCTAGCTAAAACCCCATTTTTCAGATGTTGGGTGTAGCGGGGGCATCCTTCCCTTGCATTGGCTGGTGGTGTGTTCACTTCCACAGATGCCTGTTTCCGAGCCCGGCCTGAGATCCTTTCGTGCCTTGCTTGTGGTATTCACTTCAGGAAGCTCATCACGGTCCGTCATAGGCTCGTCGGTGGGGCAATGCACCATAATGATGACATATGTGGAGGCTGGAAGGTCCCTTTGCTCTTTTGGGATGTTTCTGAGAAAGGGTCTTGAACTTATTATGTAACTGACGGTGACCTTCAGCTCCTGAACTTCTTACAAAACCTCTTCTCTTTCTGCATCTTCCAGTTCACTTCCTGTCAGCTGCAGAAGCAATCAGCTGCCCTTACAGCAGGCATCGACTTCCAAGCTTGGTGGTGCACACCCGTATACTCAGTCCTTGGGGGGCCTAAGGCAAGAGGATGGAGTATCTGGGGCCATCCTGGGTTACATAGTAAGTTTCAGGCCAACCTGAGCTATAAAATAAGATTCTGTCTCATGAAAACACCACACACACACACACACACACACACACACAATTATACATTTACTGAGTGTCTTAATCACTGTTTTATTATTGTGAAGAGACACCATGACCAGCATAACCCTTGTAAAAGAAAGCATTTAATTGGGGCCTTGATTACAGGTTCAGAGGGTGTCTCCATTTTCGTCTTGGCAGGGAGCTGCAGCCTGATCTCCAGGTGGAGGCCTGGTATTGGCTTTTGAAACCTCAAAGCCCACCCTCAGTGGCTCACCTTCTCCAGCCAGGCCACACCTCCGCCTCTCTCCTAAACCTCTGCCAGCTGGGAAGTAAATGTTCTAACCTATGAGCCTATGGCCATTCTCATTCAATCACAGGACACTGAGCAGCTCTGTGCCAGGTGAGCCTTGGCTAAACTGGAGAGGAGAATGATGCCCCATCTTCCTTTATAACAGCTGTGTGAAATTCATGTCATCTTTGTGACGTGGCCCTGGCCCCCAACTGTGAAACTGCTGCCTCTGCCTCCCAAGTGCCAGCTGTGTGCTGCCCACTTGGCGCCACGGCCTGTGGGTGTGGGGGGTTGTATATTCATCTTCATCATCTCGAAGTGTTTTTTTACTGCCTTTGTGATTTTTTCTCTTGGACTTTTTAGTTCTTGAATCGTGTTGCTTAATTTCCACATATTTCTGAATTCCTTAAATCCCTTTTGTTATTTTTCAGGTTTTGGTTCTTGTGATTGCAACATTCTTTGTATGACTTCAGTCCTTCAAAAACTTGTGGAGACCAGCTCTGTGGCCCAGCATGCGGTCTGTCCTGGAGAGCATCTCTGTGGTGTTGCGCACATCTGCTGTCACTGAGTGGGCGTCCTGCTGGTGACTTTTAGGTTTGTTTTGTGCACACTGTTCAAGTCTTTTGTTCGCTTGCAGCATTGAAGTCTCTCATGGTTGCTGTTGAATCAGCTCTTTTCTCTCTCAAGTCTGTCAGATCAAGCTCACAGATGTTGCTGCGCTATGTTTAGATACAGTGATTGGATCCTTACACATTGCTGAGACTGACATTTTGGGTTACTGTATCCCAGACTGGAACTAGGGGTGACCCTTCGGCTTCAGCTTCCCGAGTACTTGGAATACAGGTATGAACAGGTGTGCTCGGTATTTAAAGGGTGTGTGTGTGTGTGTGAACCCTATAAAGTTTATAGGTTCCGATATCTCTCTTAGCTTAGTTTAGCCAGGGTTAGTGTTTTCTGTCTCCTCCTCCTCCTCCTCTTCCTCCTCCTTCCCTCCTCCCCCTCCTCTTCCTCCTCCTTCTCCTCTTCTCCTCCTCCTCTTCTTCTCCTCCTCCTCCTCTTCCTCCTCCTCCCTCCCCCCTTCCTTCTCCCTCTCCCTCTCCTCCTTGTTTTGTTTTGAGACAAGGTCTCACTAAGTAGCTTTGGCTGGCCTGGAACTCACTATGTAGACTAGAATCTCACAGAGACCCACATGCCTCCACCTCCTGAGTGCTGGGATTGGAGATGTGCAATATCAAGCCTGACTTTTTTTCTCTTTTCAAGTCAAGGTCTCAGTTTATAGCTCAGACTGCAATCCTCCTGCCTCAGCTTCAACTGTTGGAATGCAGGTCAGTATCATCGTGCCAAGTTTTCTGCAGTCTCTTTTTCTTTTCATTTTTTGGTTTTTCGAGACAGGACTTCTCTTGTGTTGCCCTGGCTGTCCTGGAACTCACTCTATAGACTAGGCTGGTTTTGAACTCGGAGATCTGCCTGTGTCTGCCTCTGGGGTGGTCTTTTTTTTTTCCTTATCAGTGACTTTTTGAAAAATAATTTATTTATTTTTATTTTATGAGCAGTGATTGGTGTTTTGCCTGTATGAATGTCTGTACAAGGGCATCAGATGCCCTGGAATTGGAGTCACAGACAGTTGTGAGCTGCTATGTGGGTGCTGGGAATTGAACCCAGGTCCTTTGGAAGAGCAGCCACTGCTTTCAACTGCTGAGCCATCTCTCCAGCCCCTTGTACTTTAATTGAATGCCCTGTTCTGTGCTCTTCATTGGTGCTAACATTGCTTAAAATGCTCCCAGCTGTAGTGATGAGGCACTGGCTGGCCTGCCTCAGCCCACAGAGACTTAGATGTGTGTTATGGAGGAAAAATCCATGAGTTTTCTAAGTTGCACTCAGACATGAATTGTGTCATTGTTAATTATGAGTTCAATGTTAATGAATCAATACTGTATATTTTCCTTAATAGTGTATATGTTCCCTAAGACCAATATTTAGCTTTATATTAAAAAAAAAATTGTAGTGGGTGGTGGTTGGCACATACCTCTAATCCCAGCACCCAGGAAGCAGAGGCAGGTGGATCTTTGTGAGGCCAGCCTGGTCTATAGAGTTAGTTCCAGAACAGCTAGGGCTGTTACACAGAGAAACACTGTCTGGGGGGGGGGGACCAAACAACAACAACAAAAATACTTGTTTGTTTGTATTTTTATTGTGTGAGTGTGTGCATGCATGTACACATGCCACCAAGTGTGTGTGGAAGTCAGAGGAAAACTTTCAAGAGTGGATTCTTTCCATCTCATGGGCTCTGGGGATCAACAAGTTCAGATCATCAGCTTACATATCCTGAATCACAGTCCACTGAGGGAAGCCCAGGCAGGACTCAAACCAGGAGGAACCTGGAGGCAGGAGCTGATGCAGAGGCCGTGGAGGAGTGCTGCTTACTGGCTGTTCATGGTTTGCTCAGCCTGCTTTCTTATAGAACCCAGGGCCACCAGCCCAGGGATGGCTCCACCCACAATGCCCCCCCCCCATCACTACTAAGCAAATGTCCTACAGTGTAGGCTTGCCTATACCCAATCTTATGACGGCATTTTCTCAGCTGAGGTCCCTCCTCTCAGATTGCTCTAGCTTGTGGTAAACTAGGCAGGGCAATGACTAAGAAGGAGTTAGTTCCCCTCTTCCATCATGTAGGTCACAGAGATCAAACTCAAGTCATCGGGCTTGGTGACACATGCTTCTGCCCACTGAACCATCTTGCTGGCCTAGGTTTTTTTGGTGGTGGTGGTTGTTGTTGTTGAGATAGGAGTTTGCTGTGTAGCTCCGGCTGGTCTTCAGTTTGCAATCCTACTAGATTAGGATTAGAACAATTTAAAAAGCCTCAAAGTAGCTGGGTGTGTGGCCCAAGCCTTTAATCTCAGCACTTAGGAAGCCAGCTAGGGCTACATAATGAAAACTTGTCAAAAAAACAAAACAAAACAAAACAAAACAAAACAAAAACCCAAACCCCACAAAGGTCTTTACCAACATTCACGATTCAGCTTTTTATTCAAACGTTTTATTTATTTATATATTTTATGAGAATGAGTATCTTGCCTATATGTATGACTGTGCACTACATGCATGCCTGGTGCCCCAGGAGACCAGAAGAGGGCATCAAATCTTCTGGAACTGGTATTACAGATGGTTCTGAGCCACCATGTGAGTGCTGGGAATCGAACATAGTTCCCCTGGAAGAGCAGCCAGTGCTGTTAACTGCTGAGCCATCTCTCCAGCACCTCAGCTATCCTTCTTAAATGAGTATTCCTCAAGTTGTTGCCAGTCTTTGGCTGGCTTTCAGTTTGGAAAGTTGATTTTGAGGGTTTTTTTCATTTTTTTTTTTTAGATTTATTTATTTATTATGTATACAGAAGAGGGCACCAGATCTCATTACAGATGGTTGTGAGCCACCATGTGGGTGCTGGGAATTGAACTCAGGACCTCTGGAAGAGCAGTTGGTACTCTTAACCTCTGAGCCATCTCTCCAGCCCCCCATTATTTTTATTAAGGAATGAATTCCCATAGGTCTTTATGTTGATATTTTTGCTGACTCTATAAAGTTTAGTTTACAATCCATTTTTTTTTTTTTTTGAGACAAGGCCTCACTACAGTAACTCTGGCTAGCCTTGAATTCATTATGTAGATCAGGCTGGCCTCAGACTCGGATTCTTATGCCTCTGCCAAGAGCTGAGATTAAAGGCATGGGTGACCATGCCCTGCCAGATTATTACTCTTGCTTCTGTTTTTCTAGTCCTGGAAATTTGAACCTCATGCATGCTAGACAATTCTTGGTTACTTAGCTGCAACTTTTTTTTTTTTTTTTTTTTTTTT